TAATAGCATATAATATATGTATGCATATGTATGATAAATGTGATATCACAGATGGAAATCTGATGTATGGATGTAAGCCACACTATGATGTTGATTTACTAAAGGCAAATAGGGTGTTCACTTTGGAAGTGAATTTGCACTTTCTGTGGGAAGTTTTCCCTTAGTTTAGTGAGTGAGGTGAAGCTCCACTGACTTCCATCAGCCAATCATGGGCAAGCAAAAATACTGCCTTTTTTATTTTCTAGGTTCTAGAGTAGAAGAGCAACCTTCAAACTAGGAGAGAGCACTTATTATTGCAGTACACAGAGGTCTGGATAGTGCTATGATGCAGAGTTGAATGAGTGAAGGTCATAGTCCAGAGTAAGTTGCAAAATACCAGTCTAGTGTTGTGTAGGGCAGGGATCCCACAGCAAAGATGAGAAAATACCCATATGTTTCCGGCTGAAAGGCTTTTTTTACCAAGTGAGTTTTCAGGGATTGGGTTACACCATCGGTCAAGCCATTGTACTGGACACGGAGACAATGCTCTGCAGCTAACTGACACCGAACACAAGGTCTGGAAAGTGCCACAATCAGTGCCTGAAGATGACTTACCAAATTTATGTTTGCCATGACCATAGGCTCAAACACAGCGAGAGTCTTTGGAAACTGGGTGACATCAGAGGCTATGCCATGACTCTGGACCTGGAGAGTGCTAACAAATTACACTAAGGCCTTGAAAAGTGCCCCTGGCAGAGCCTAGTGCACCAGGGTCACATTCAAGGCTAGCCCCACAATCTCATGCACCTTATTTGAGGTCTTCATTTAAGTTACAGAGGAAAAAATATCCACAGTTTAACAAATATCTTGAGTGAAGAGATAAAATTGTGTAAAAATGAATTAGGGTTTTCCACAACAGAACAGAGCTGAGGAAAAGGAGTCCAACCTCCTAGGACACTAGAATAATCCTGAGGCATTATGGATGAAGGTGGTGTAATATGAGGGCTGGCTTTATGGGTTTTTTTGCCAGGGTCCAAACCTGCTGTAGACGGTTATATAACTCAAGCTTGACATGGAGGTGACACCATATGATCCCTACCGTTATCTAATTTCCTGAAGGGCATTTAGCGCTGTACACTTCATTACACCATATAACTCACATGTCCTATACTATTCTGCAATTCTGTATCCTCCAATGGACAATGCTATTTTCACCCTTTTTTTGCATCAAAGAGCTGCAGATCAAAAAAACTGTGTTTAAATGATTTGTTCAATTAACCCCTTCATGACAGCTTGTTTTTAGGTTCTGTTCATAAATGACTGACACACTTTTGACATTTTTGCTGTGTGATTCTTCCACGTCAGTAATATACTTTCTTACAAAGTGCACCCACACATATTATATATTGTTTTTTAGAGGACAGATAGGGCTACATATTTATATCACATATGTGTGTCTAATGCCTCACTTAGGACAAATAAAATATTTAAAAAAGAGGAAAAAAACTAAAAAAAACTATTTGTTCCCAGTTTTGATTTGTAGTATTTTTTTTACAAAACCAGCAAAAGCTAAAAAAATTGCAATAAATACATTCATTTATTTGTCCCTTATTTTTTATTTTTTTACACTTATTTTTTTTATTTTTTTTTACACTTTTAACTATTTTTTTTAAACTTAAAAATGTTATTTTATTTATTTAATTATATCAAGCAGTCATTGTGAATTAATCTCACTATTACTGCTTGATAAATTAATACATTTTTGGTTATTATCAGGCTGCTTCAAACTTCAGAACAGCCGATAATAAGTTAGTGACACTGATCCTGCAGCAGTTCAGGATTCAGCTGTCACTAATTAAAGGTTTTCTTGAACGTTCCAACAACGTTTAGAAAACTGAAACATTCTTGTAACATTATGTATCTATTCCTGAAAGTGAAAGAAAAAAAAAAGCCAGTATAGCTTGAGAGAGATATCTCTCGATCTATACGGGTTGTCAGAATGCTGACAAAAGCCGGCATGTGTGCCCGCTCTGCTTTGACTCTCAGACACCTGATATTAAGGTACCGGGTGTCTGAAAAAGGTTAACCCTTTCATTAATGGATGCCTCGAAACTGAGGCATACATTAACCTCTTGCCGTCCGCCCGTAGTAAAAAAACGGACGGACGGCACTGCTGCATTTGCGGGTTGCCATCTCCAGACGGCAATTTTTTCTGCTCACGCGCGCCCCCTAGCGGGCACGCACGGGCAGAAAAGACCCGACCGTTGCACACACCCGTTACCGGGTGTTTCACATATAGGCGATCAGCGGGTCCATAGCCCGGCGATCGCCTATATGTGCTCGTTTGCGGCACAAAGCCCCCTCCCCTCCCCCCTGCGCGCGGTCGGCGCTGCCGTTTTTTTTCCCCCCCCTGACCCCTCACCTTGAATCCCGGGATTCGCTGCCCCATCTTGAGTACCGCAGCGCTGAATACTGAAAAATGGCCTGGATGGGAAGGGGGTTTAACACAGCGGATGTCAACTGGTTAATGAATGGTAACCGCTGATTCTGAGCGGTTACCAGCCTTCTAGTGCAGCAAATAGACATGTGCACTGCCAAAAAATTTGTTTCGTTTCGTTTTAAATTCGGATATGTGTTATTTCGTTTTTCAGGATTCGGGTGTGAAAGTCAATTCGAATTCGGATTCAGACGAAATTCGGTAGCGTTAGTTCGTTTCGTTTTCTGTTCTTATTCGTTTCTTATTCGTTTCGTTCGTTTGCAGCAAAAGTGACATTTGAGGGGGGGGAAATATTTTTCTCCTTCTCTAATGTCACTTTGCTCCAACGAACGAAACGAAATAACAGAAAACGAAACGAACGTTCGTACTAACGCTACCGAATTTCGGAAATGGAAATTTGGATTCGTTTGCATTCGTTATGTCTGTAATTCGGAATTCGGATACATCCGAATGTCCGAATTTCCGAAAATTCGTCCGAATTTTGATTCGGAACGAAACGAATCGCACATGTCTAGCAGCAAATAACTCGTCACGTACAGTGTACGTGACGAGTCATTTGGTCCCTTTGTGGCTGGACATACAGTGTACGTCTCCCGTCACGAACGGGTTAAAGGATTTTTTCAAAGGTGTGGTGTGTTTATTTACTAGTTACATTCCTCTTTGGTGAATGAGTAGGGATGACAACAACTACCCCTTGCTTATTCACAAGGGGAGCGTCATCTGGGAGCCCTCTTTATGAAAGGAGGTCCCCAGATGCAAATAATCCACCCTGTCCACAGATCCCCATAACCACCGGGCCAGGGTTGTGGGGAAGAGGCCTTTGTCCTCATCAGTCCCCCCCTGGCAAAGCAGCCTCCCCGTCGAGGGCATGTGGCCTGGTATTGTGCAGAAGGGGTGCTCGCTTGTCCCCCCACCTTGCTGCTCTGCCAGGCCACTGCTCAGATTAAGGATCTGGTAGGAATTGTTTTTTATTTCTGTCATTGGGATCCATCTTAAAATTCCTACCCGACCTAAAGGGTCTTGTATGACTTTTGAGGGGAACTCCATGCTTTTTTACATTAGGGGTCGCCCCCTAACATTCCTACTAGACCTAATGGGTCCACGCTTTTTTTTTGTTTAGGTTGACGTTTAACAACAAAAGTTCATTTGGGAATGAAATTCCGAAAGAAATTAGGATTCGTTATATTTTCGTAATTCATCCGAATTTCAATTTGTTATCGGAAGTTCGGTTATCTTTGGATTCATTATATTTTCATTCTGAAATTCAGATGCATCCAAGTGTCAGAATTTCAATTCGGAACGAAACGAATCGCACATGTCTACTGGGAATAGGGGTATCAAAGAACAACTCCAGGAATTTTAAAAATGCACCCTTGCAATAGGGGTACCCCAGCACTGCAAGGTGTAAGTGCCTGCTTTGTCTAGGGGGATCAAATAATCATAATAATTTGATCATTGGCCCCGCAGCATTCAGTGCTCACCAAGCCAATGAACCTGCATTACACATGATGACATTATTATTATTTAGGATTTATATAGCGCCACCAGTGTGCGCAGCACTTTACAATATAAGGAATACATTACAATCACAATACAATTCAAGACTAGATGGTAAGGAGGGCCCGGCCCCTGAGGGCTTACAATCTAAAAGGGAGGGAGAAGTGATACATGAGGAGGTAGCTGTGTGGTGATGATATGTTTGAGAACGTGATGGTGCCTAGACCACTGGAGCCCAGGGGAGAAGAGATTGGGGGGACCGGTCTAGCAGCTCAGATGAACCGAGGATCAGGTGAGTATAACAGATTTATTTGAGCCCCCTAGACAAAACAATCACTTAACCCTTGCAGTATAGGGGTATTCCCACTACAAGGGTATGTTTTTCAATTTCCTATAGTTTTCCTTTAAAGTAAACCCATTGCTTTACCCTGTATGAGCAAAACACACTTTTTACATCTAACACCAGACAGTGGTACTGTGCTTCCAAACTTCCCCCTCCCCGGTCACTTGTGTCAACACCAGCCCCAGCCCACCCCCACCGGTAATGTGCCCCACCAACACCAGATACCCCCCCCAACCCTCCTGGTAATGAGCACTCCTCCATCAACCAAAACCCCCCAGCACCCACCCCCTGTCCTCAAGCAGCAAAAAAAAATGTAGGGACAGCCCAGCCAGTATGTATCTGAATTGTGAGAGAAAACTGATGAACTAAAAATAAACCTAATCAAACAAGGAGAAATGCACACATTTCCTTAATAATTAAATCAGGTACCCCAGGCTGAACCAGTGATGTTTACAAATATCTACAATTTCCCCCTTTCAAGCTTGTAATTGAAGTACGTTTATTAAGTGTATAATTCATTCCCACCAGAAATTTAAAATATGCCTTGCTTACATACATCCATTAAGTGAGGTTTTTTTGATTGTTGTTTCCTTAATAAGCTCCTGTTGAGCATTTTGGCAAACATGCTATTCAAAGTTCTAAATAATAGATGGCTGACCATACTAAATAAGTTGAAATCCTTACCTATTTTATTTTACTGAACAGAGAAAAGCAATCTATATATAGGTTTGCCCTATTCTTTAATTTTTTAAGAGCTGACTGGACCTCTTTGTTTCTTAAGGAATAAATAAAAGGATTAAGCAATGGAGTTAAGATTGTGTAAAGAACGGCCAGAATCTTGTTGAAACCAGAAAATCCACTAGTAGTTGGCCTTACATAGACAAAGATCATTGTGCTGTAGTAAACTGTGACCACAGTAAGATGTGATGTAAATGTTGAACTAGCTTTTTTCCTTGCCTTTCCTGAAGATATTGCCAGTACAGTGGTCAGTATTCTGAAGTACGATAGCAAGGTGATTATACAGGATCCCACCAGTATAAGAGAAGCCAGGAGAAAGATAAGCAACTCTGTGTGATGCACATTAGTGCACGAAAGTCTGAGAAGTGGTGTGATGTCACAGAAGAAATGTTGTATATGGTCAGGGCCGCAAAACTGCAATGCAGAGATGAAGAGAATAGAAGACATGGTGGATATGAAACCTGATGACCAACAGCAACTCACCAAGCAGTTGCAGATCCAGGAGGTCATGAGGGAGTGATAATGTAAAGGTTTGCAGACTGCTAAAAACCTATCATAAGCCATTATAGCAAGTAGAAAACATTCGGTTGATCCAAGTGATCCAAAAAAGTACAGCTGGGTAAGGCAAGCTACAAATGAAATAGAACTATTGCCAGTTACTGAACTGTGAAGCATTTTGGGAACAGTGACAGAAATGTAGCACATTTCCAAAGCAGCAAGATGACTGAGGAAAAAATACATTGGTGTGTGGAGGTTCTTCTCAAACCTGCAGATAATGATGATGATGAGGTTTCCAGACAATGTTAGGACATAAATAATAGTGAATAGCATAATGAAAGCAATACGCCCAGCAGGGGAGTCCCAGAGTTGAAGAAGGAGGAAAAATGTGACCTGGGTACTGTTCATACCTTGCATCTTCATATAACTTAGAGGCAAAAAGTAAAACAATTACTCTTATTGAGCTACATTTAATAAAGTATTAAAATACATAAAGATAATATACATTTTGTTTAAAATAAGTATAATAAATGCACAGTCCATAGACCCATATATAGCTTTCCAATTAATGTAACTTACATTTTAGAGCTCAAGTACAGAAGATACATTGGCTCACTTGTATGGAGCAGCATATATCAAATCAACACCAATTTGCAAATATCAAAACATATTGCTTTTAAAAATATATTACAAAAAAAATATTAAAATATGTACATGTAAAACATTAAAGCTCAGGACTAATTGTGTATGTAAAAATGTTCCCCAGTAGATATGTTCATTCTCCTAGGGTTAATGATGCCCAGAATGTTTTAATCCAGAAGACCGAGGGCATGCTGTCAATGCAGAGCATCATGGGCACTGCATTGATGCACAAGGTGGAGCTGACATAATAACGTTAGCATTGCTCTCTGCACCATCAAGGACCACTCACAGTTGGAGAAGCATGTCACATGACTAGTCAAAAAACATATGCAAAAATAAGCATAAAATATTGCCCACAGGGAAAGAGGAGGACCTCATGGGAGGACATCTTGCAGCTAAGCTTTAAATAACATTGAAATTATTGAAAAAGGTGCGGAATGATAAAGTTAAATGGAGCATGTAATGTTTTTCACTGATTTTCTTAGCTATACTCACAAATTAATGTGTTCAGCTTAATGTAAAAAATTGCATCAATGTGTTAAAACATGTTTCTAGACATGTAATTAAAACCACAAGAACTGAAAAATAGGGTTAGGGATAATAAAAACCATAATATACTGTATAATACAGATAGGTGCAATTCTGAAAATCACCATCATTTAACTGACTTCAGAACAATCGATCATTTTTGCAGTATGACAATAAACTACAAAAGGTGAGGCATTTCACATTTGCATATATGTATACAGTGGTGTATTTAGGTTTCGTGCTGCCCTAGGCAAAACGAAACTCGGCACCCCCCTTCCCCCCATGTAACAAGACATTTTGTGTATTCTTTCAAGTCGCTGGATATCCAGCGTCTGACAGATTGCGCTATTAGGCCTCATTCACACTGCTAAGAGTCGGCCCGTACAGATCCGTGAGACGTGCACGGCCGTATCGGGCCGTTCCCGGGAAGGACAGGTGCTGCATGTGATTTGTACGCAGCAACCTGTTCTTCTCTATGGGAGGACGCAGCTGTACGTTCACCTGAACTGCACGTCCGTGTGGATGTCCGTACTCGTACACAATCGATCATTTTTGCAGTATGACAATAAACTACAAAAGGTGAGGCATTTCACATTTGCATATATGTATACAGTGGTGTATTTAGGTTTCGTGCTGCCCTAGGCAAAACGAAACTCGGCACCCCCCTTCCCCCCATGTAACAAGACATTTTGTGTATTCTTTCAAGTCGCTGGATATCCAGCGTCTGACAGATTGCGCTATTAGGCCTCATTCACACTGCTAAGAGTCGGCCCGTACAGATCCGTGAGACGTGCACGGCCGTATCGGGCCGTTCCCGGGAAGGACAGGTGCTGCATGTGATTTGTACGCAGCAACCTGTTCTTCTCTATGGGAGGACGCAGCTGTACGTTCACCTGAACTGCACGTCCGTGTGGATGTCCGTACTCGTACACAGACAGGATGGATCCTATCTGCGTCCGAGCATGGACACCAGCACCAGCACGGATGTTTATGGGCCAACTCTGAAGGCCGTGACACACTGCCCGCAAAGCCGTGCAGAGCGAAGCAAAGCTGTCCGGCACGGAGCTTTGCGTGCTGTGTGTGAGCTGAGTGCAGGCACATGATTGACTGCACCTTCAGCCAATCGGCTCCTGCATAACAACCAGCATCGCAACACGTCGGTTTATACATGCGAGCCGATTGGCTGAAGATGAAATCTCATCTCGGCACGCTCAGCTACACGAGCTCTCGCAAGCTGAGGTGCCGAGGAGATGCCTCACTTTTTTATATAATATATCTATATAGGTATATGGTACTTTTTAGTGTTGGCAGCAATTTAGGGTGTAAGTATTAATTAGGGTTGGCGTAGAGGTATTTTTATTTAATTGATGATCTCAAAGGTATCAATGTAATAAATCACAAGAGATGACATAAGTTAAACTAGTGACGGCGAGAAATAGAAACCAAGGCATTGGGCTTGATTTACTAAATGCAAATAGGCTGTTCACGATGCAAAAGAATGTTTGCATTAGTTTAGTGAATGAGTTAAAGCTCTTCTGACTTCCATCATTTAATCATGTGCAAGCAAAAATGCTGTCTTTTCCTATTTTCCTTGTATGTGATTGGGTATTTTCACCACATTCACTAAGCTAAGGGAAAATTATTTTGCAAAGTTAAAATTCCTTTTCAAAGTGAACAGCCTTATTGAGAAACACAAGAAAGAAACACACATAATTAATACATTTGCAATCCTACTAATAGTGTGGAGAAACAAGTTACTAGAGATGTTATTGTGTAACTGAAAAGCGGAGATAAAAAAAAGATGGAAGGCGATAGAGCTGGTATGTAGAAGAGTAAATAATATGGTGAATAGAAATAGACACAGAATAGAGAAATCTAAGAGGGGGGGGAATGATATGACTATAGCTCATGGAGTTTGTCGTTGTGTGGTAAAGAAGAGTGAGACAGGAGATCTGGTGTCTGGGGAATAGAGATCAACAATGTATTGACAGGGTGAAAGCTGTGTATGGGAGGGGACAAGAGATGAGAATGGATGCGTGTGCAGGAATCGTGGAGTCAATCACAGAAGACATAATAGACAGGCACTTTGAGTAAACATACAACTGAGGGAATAATTAATTTGGTGCTAAAACAGGCTGAGGGTCTAAGAAGAATAAATAGCCAGATGGCTGAATACTTACTTTGGTTCTGTGAGATGCTGAGACCCCTTCCAAGGTTAAGGCTCTCTATTTGGAGCTAAAGCCCACAACAAATAAATATGTATAGCCATCTAATACCAGTTAGAATCCCTTCTTTCCTTCTTAATATGCTTGCTGTCTGAAGTCTCATGACATAATTTGAACTAGAAATGTTCCACCAAGATTTTGAGCCATGCTGGCTTAATAGTGGAGTTCCTGCAGATGAGTCGTCCATACATTAATGGTGCAAAATTGCCATTCTATCTAATTCCAAAGATTAATGCTGGGTATGCCAAATTCTATCCCTTCCATTAACATCGTGCAGAAGACTTTGGAATTCGTCAGACCAGCCAACATTTTGTCAATCCTACATAATGAAGTCTTACTGATTTATTTCCCACTGTAGTCTAAGTAAACCTTTTTTTAGTCACGGCCCCCTTTAAAAAATGCTAAATCTCGAGGCACTGCAATCTAAAAGGTCTTAGTTTCTAAGAGGGACCCCCATGCAAAAACACCCAAAAAAGTGGGTTTCCCTCTCTACTTTCATATCAGAGTCCCCCCTTTTACATCAGAGTTCCCTTTTTATATCAAGAGCCCCCTTCACATCAGTCTTCATTCCTCCCTTTACATCACAATTCCACTACTGCATAATTTTGAGGCACCCCTGGGGATGACAGGAGGCACACCAGTGTGCTATGGCACCCTGGTTGAGAAAGCCTGGTCTACGTTTCTGTTTTCAGCTGGCAGGAGTGAAACTATACCTGCTCAGCTCCTCAGCTGCTATAACCTATTGGTCAACATATTATTTGTTCATAATGTGTAAGAATATTGACTACAATATTATGCCCCTTTTTAAGATTTTTGTCTTGACAAAGTTCAGAAATACTTTGACAGTTTGCACAATTTAGCTAATGTGTCTTACTTTTCTAGCTACATTCATTTCATCATAAATTACATGTTCTTGATCAGTTTCCATTTTCTATTATAAATAAGTAAATGAAACACTTACAATAAAAGACATAAGGCATAGACATAAAGTAGAGCACATTGTGTTGTGGTGTTTTTGTGCTGGCACATGATATTTCTCTGATGTTTTTGTGGCTTGTATTTATAAAATGCTGTGCTTCTAGAACAGTGCACCAATATTTTGAAGAGTTATACCCAAGGGCCTAGTCTATACAATGTCTTCTTAACTAATTAGAAAAACAGCATATTCCCTGAAGAAATTATAGCATAGAATATAATGCCTCTATATATGTTAGACGTTAAACCCATTAACAAAAAGTATATTTGGATGATAACAAGGTTCTGCTTACTATGATTATGTTTTTGTTTAACCACAATAACAACACAATAAGAATATATTATCAGACAGTTTGAAATAAATTGTACATGCTTTGAGAGCACAATTTTATCTGAATCCTATATGTCAGACTTTGGTAGATTTAGGAACATTCTCCTGGATTTGGTCCAGTTTAGACAATATTTATTTTAAATCCATAAAATATTTTTCTAGTGAATATTAAGTAACTGACCACAAATTTGCAGACTGAAGAATGGGTCTACAGTGTATGGTTCCTAATTCACTAATTTGGAAAATAGTTTTTATTTTGCTCTGAGTTTTTATTTTGCACTGACATAAGCCTGTTTAAAATAGGGCCTGGCAAGTTGGAGTTGGTAAGCTCAAATGAGAAAAATCCCTTTGAATGGGAGTGATAGTCGAATTTTATATATAACAAGAACCTGGAGGATGAATAAGAAAGTAACAGCTGAAAGTGTGCAAATGCCATCATTTGCGTCTTCATATGACCATGATTGTTAAACAGGAAAATCCAGTACATTTTGCTATCATTAAACCCAATCTCTGAGAAAAAAAAACCTTTATATCTGATTGAAGATTTAGGGCATTTAGGGTGATTGTCCTCCAAAATATACACAATACAAAGATTTATTTATTTATTTTACAAAAGCCAAAATTAGTTTTCTAGTTTTATCAATTATATTGCAAAGAACATTACAGGAAAAATGGGAGTGTAACATATAAAAGCAAATCCTTTCTGACCTTTCTAGAGATCATAGTCCTAATCATAAGTCACAAAAATGTTTTAGATGCAGAATACTTGCCACAGTTTTTTTGTAACAAAAATGTACAAGAATAAGGTATTCATATAAATGTGATTATAAAGAAAATAAAATTGAGATGGCAAAAATTAGATTTTGCTGTCTTTTCCGCCCCCTTCTAGGGGCATGAATACAGGTGTATGGTAATAACCCGTACACCTTAAAGTGGAACCTCAGGAATTTGAAAAGTTAACCCTTGCAGTGTTGCTACCCTCATACTGCAAGGGTTAACTGCTTGTTTTTGAGTATAAAGAAGATATATTTGCCTGAACTTTCTAGACCTGGCTTTTAGACTATTTCCCACAGCCTCTTCTTCCCTAGGCTCCGGAAGTCTAAGGATCTGTGATGTCATCACATCTAATACAGTGTGTTAGATGTAAAGACGCCAAGGGACAAACCACAGCTGTAGTGGAGGGGGAGAGAGGTGATCTCCTCCACTATTGAAACAATCTCTTGGTCTGATCATGCTCCAATAACGCTCAGTGTCGAGGTCCATCTCAACCCCAGCTCTACTTTTGCTTGGAGACTCAATACCTTCCTCCTATCCCATCCGGAAGTCTCCCAACAGATTTTAGATGCATAAAAAGATTTTTCGCTCCTAAATGATCTTCCCGACACTGACCGTTACACACTATGGAATACTCATAAAGCATATATTAGAGTGGTTATGATCAAACTAAGTTCCTAGTAAAAAAAACAACGCTCTTCCCAAATCGCACAACTGCTGCTTTCAATTTTTCAATTTCCTTAAAATGCATTGAAGCGGACTCCTATGCCCTTGACAACAAAAGCAGGTTCTTTTCTAGCTAAGAGGCTCAAAGCCTGATCGCAGTCTCTCTCACCTCACTGATCCGGTCACAGGGACCAAAACCACCCACCCTCAATAGATGACTGATATCTTTAAACAATACTACCAATCTCTGTATAACCTCAGGGATGACCCCACTACTCATCAACCCACTGCCACACATATTAACACATTCCTTAGCTCTATCAACATCATCTTACGACGGAGCAAGTGTCCAATCTATCCGCTCCCGTTACCACTCATGAAATCATCCTAGCCATTGATTCTCTACCCTTCAGTCTCCCCTGGAAAAGCATCTCATCCCATGCTGATGGGAACAAGGGCCTCTTCCCCACAACCCTGACCCGGTGGTTGTGGGAGTCTGCTGGCAGGGGGGCTTATTCGCATCAGTGTACCTCCTTGTAAATTGTCATTCAATGATAGAGTCATTGTCATTTGAGGACAGTGGCCTGTCATTGAATGACAACAAGTGGGCGCAGCCAGCCATGCCGCCATGGCTGACTCTGCCCATTTGTTTACATTTGGTCGGCATCTGTCAAACTGTAATTCTGCGTCGGGAGTTCGGCGGTTGTGGTCGGCAGGCGTCGGGTTTTATTTTCATTTTGACGAATCAGCATCATCGTGGACATCACTGGACGACGTGATTGACCCTAAAATACCTCTTTGGATTTTTTTTATTGTTTTGGCGTTTTTCCAAAGCAGTTAAAAACTGTTGCTGGGGTTTTTTTTTTTCTTTCATTTAAAGGATTTTTTCTAACAGTCTGGGCTCTTTATTTACATTTTGATTTAACCCTTTAATGAATGGAGTAGGGGTACAAGTACCCCTACTCATTCACAAGGGGAGTCAATAAAAAAGGGTACCCTGATACAAATAAGCCCCCCTGCTAGCAGACTCCCACAACCACCAGGTCAGGGTTGTGAGGAAGAGGCCCTTGTCCCCATCGGCATGGAGACAAGGTGCTTTTCCAAAGGGGACCCCTGGAAAAGCACCCACCCAATGTCGAGGGCATGTAACCTGGCATGGCACAGCAGGGGGGGGCGCTCATTTGTTCCCCCTATTTCTTGCCCTGCCAGTGCTCAGATTAAGGGTCTGGTTGGGGGTTTTAGAGGGGAACCCATGTTTATTTCCAATTTTTTTGGGAGTGAGTTCCCCCTTAAAATTCCTACCAGACTTAAAGGGCTGGGGGGACTTTTGGGGGAACCCCACACTTTTTTATTCTTTTGTTTCCTTTTTTTCTTATTCTGCTCGCTACCTCCTGAGTATAAGGACAAACAGCAGCAAGTGAACGGCCGAAAATTTTTGGCACTTCGGCTCATTCGAACACGATGAGCATGTTCGGCTGAACCGAAGAGAGCGGATGTACGGCTAAAACAAGGCGTACACTTTTCAAGATGCTTATATAGTCTTATACCGAAAAAAGGTAAAGATCCGCTTCAAGCGGGCTCCTACCGCCCCATATCTCTCCTTAACTTAGACGCCAAAATGCTCTCCAAAATACTGGCTAATAGACTGGCGGCCGTGCTACCAAAGCTTATCTCTCCAGACCAAGTAGGTTTTGTCGCAGGCAGATCTGCGGTCACTAATGTTCGAAAGATTATTTTGGCCTTGGAGGGCCATCGCCTCTCTAAGCCTCCCTCGCATCCATTGGCTCTCTTAACGCTGGATGCGGAGAAGGCTTTTGACAATGTTAATTGGCGATGGCTCTCCATGGTGATGCAACGCATGGGTTTTGCTGGAGTTTTTTTGCAATTCATTTCCATGATGTATGCTTCTCCTAGGGCTTGCATTTTTACTTCGGCCGCAATATCTCAGCCATTCTTTCTAATAAAGGTACGAGACAAGGCTGCCCCTTATCCCCCCTGCTGTTCAATCTAGCCTTAGAACCCATATCTAGGTCACTTGCTGCATCCCCGATTTCCGCACCGGCCCCCATGACTTAAAACTAGCTTTATTTGCAGACGACATAGTCCTTCTACTCTCAGACCCCTCCACCCAGGTGCCCAAGGTGCTGGCCCATATTGACCACTTTGGATCTTTCTCGGGACTAAAGATAAATTTCCACAAAAGTGAACTCCTCTTGACTTTCCCCCACTCTCTTAGACACGTCCACTTGGCCCCCACACTTCTCGGTTAAAATACAACAATGCACAGTAACATATTTGGGTATCCATATTTCCAATAAAGGCACGGACCTCTACCACTTAAATTACCACCCGCTAATTACTAAGATCACGCAGGAACTTCACTCCTGGCGTGAGATCCCCCTTTCGGTACTGGGTAGGTGTCATTTGATCAGGATGATCAGCTTCGCACGGCTTTTGTACCCGATGCAAACCATTCCTGTCCTTCTTAAACATAAAGATATCCGCACCATGCACACTGCCTTTTCCAATTTTATTTGGAGGGGAAAACGGCCCCGTATAGCCCTACGGAGACTCCAACTCCCCTCGACATCACTGGGTGCAAATATACCAGATATCAGGTTGTATAACTTGGCAAGCCTGTTCAGACACATCAGAGATTGGATCCATGATACTTCATTCTTCACTAATTCCGATCTAGAAAAAAGCCTGGTTTATCCCTGGTCCCTGTCGGGCATTTTGCACATGCCAATCAGATCCCTACCTCCGGTCATAAAAATAACATTCTTCTTCGTGATACTATTGTTACCTGGAGAGAGACCCGGAAGCTGTTTAAGATTCCCGGGGTGGTCTCCCCCTTATGCCAATTACATCTTCACCGACCTTCCCTAAGGGCAGAGAGTCCCTAGTTTTTAAGGATTGGCGCACCAAGGGTATTGCCCACATCCAAGACATATTAGATGCCCAAGGTTGCTGCAAACAGTTCCTTGAACTACAAACTGAATATCACATATCTCCCAATCATTTCCTACAATATGCCCAAATCTCTTGGTTCATCAAAACAAACCTTCCTTTACCCAGGGCAATACTTACCCCTCCTCTGCAGAGCCTCATATCCTCTCCCTCCCAAAAAATGCCGCTCTCTCACATTGTTAAAACCCTACAAACTTGCTCGCCCCTCCTACACTCCCGACCCTGCTCTCCACAGATAGCTAAATGGGCTACCCTTCTTCAGGTCTCGCAAGAAGATGTGGATCAGTTGCTGCTCCAGGGATGGCTGAACCTTAGGAGAGCCATTGCCAGCGAGTCTTGGAGGGAAACCCAGTTCAAACTAATCCACAGAGCATACTACGCCTTTAATATTCACTATAAGAACCCTCCCCCAGACTGGCTGACGTCTTGTCCCAAATGCCAAGTTGCCTCACCGGATTTGGACCACCTCATCTGGCTATGCTCCCTCATTCACGCTTTTTGGAGCACAGTCCTCGCCTACATGCAATCTATTTCTGGCACTCACAGGCCCCTACACCCGGCATTATGCCTATTTCACATGACCACCCCGACCGCCACCGCCGCGCCTCGAGATCCTTCTAGGTGGGAACACTTAATGATGCTTGCGGCAAAAAAAGCGATCCTGACAAACTGGCTGACGCCGGCTCCTCCCTCACTGAAATTAACGAAAGACCTCTTACATAAACTGATGTCTCTGGACCTACTAGACGCACAACTCAATCAACCCCTCACTGCGGGCTTTTTCACCACCTGGTCCTCCTTCATAATAGCCGAACTCTCCTTAACCCGACTGAAAGAGATTATGGCAATGTTTCAATACACTAACTGGTACCTCACCTCTAAGCTGGATGGCTCTTTGGGTGCATTGGATGTCCTTTAAAGTCCTTTAATGTTCCACCACCTGACACTTTATATATGTCCTACGCTATTCAGTTATGCATTTTGTGGTCCATGCTCAAGTTTGTGTACATACCCAGGTGCCCCATTTGTTCGTCTTTTACCCATTGTATGTACTGCACGTGATCATTATTGTCCTACTTCATTTCTCCTGTGCCCCCACCCCCCCAGAATTCTGTGGATTGATTGAGGCGCTGTTATGTGACGGAGTGTACCTTCCTGTACGCTATCACTCCGAAGCTAATGTTTTTCTTTTTTCCTTCATAACTTAATTGTTTTATGTGTATGTATGGAAAATTTTCGATAATAAAAAGGACATGCTTAAAAAAAAAAAAACAAGGCGTACTCGACTCAAGTGAATAGCCGAACGGGGTTCGGCTCACTTCACTTCGGCTTAGTTATTCACTAGGCTGCCTTCGCAGCTGAGTGAATAACCCCCTTAGACTTTTTATTTGCCAGAAATGCTGGTAAAATTCTTAAGATCTTGGTAAAATGCAGTAGTCGAAGGAGATAAAATAATGGTGCTTTTTGATGTTTCTAAGGGTGCAATGGGCTTTAAATGGCTCCTGAGGGTTTTGGAAGTTCCTTTCAACTAGGCCTGTCCTTGTATCAATAATAACCTCTTTATAATCTTATTTTAGATTTTATCCACGGTAAGAAAAAAAAACAGACAATGAAAAAAGTAGCATAAAAAATGAAAAACAGTACACATTCACACATTCAAAAAAAAGATACACAAACACACAGAACGTTAAATGTAAAAATGAAACTACTCTAAATAGAATAAAAAAACAAACCCACACACTCTAAATAACAAAAAATTTTGGGAGGAGGACAAGCCTATTGTCACTGCTGATAAACTATGCTGTCGCTGGTCAATGTTAGACCACCATTTCTGAGGAATGAAGCTCTAATTTAAGTAGAAAAAACTGCCTATGCCTTTTGTCTCCATATTTATCATTGTTGTTGCTTCTGCCAATTTAGGCAGCAGTATTGTTGTTGCTTCTGCCTATGGCCAATTTATGCTTTTACTGAGTCTGTCACTTAAAACTGTGCTGGTTTCATAGCTCCATGCACAGCTTTATACCATCTCCTAAATCTTTAATTCAAATGATTTTTGTATTTTCCACATCTTTCTCAAAGGCCCCCTCTGAAAAGGCCCCTCATTCCACTGCACTTTATTTTCATTGCAAAAGGCCCCCTACAGCAGTGATTGGCTTCTCCCAGGGGGTCACAAGCGTTCATCAAACTTTAGCTCCAATTGACTTCAATGAAATTTAACTTGATATTTGCCTTTCAGCTATATTTTTTATCAACTCAGGGAGAATCAACTTTCAGCCACTGCACTCTCCACTACCAATGACATGCAACTTTATACATAATATAGGATACTTACACTATCAATCTGAAACACAAAAAATAGCAATTCAATGTGTCACCAGTAATGCCAAGTAATGAACACAAAATATATGTCATGAAACTAAATGGCTGTTTCTTTCATAGTTGTCTACATATTATATGGAAAATATTATTAACTAAAGCAATGATATCATCATAAAACGTTACTATTCACTAGGGTAAAGCAGTTCCCTAGTGGAGAGCTGACAGTCTTATAAAAGTCCCAGCTGTACTGCAATGTAGTACTTCTCATGCTGCACAGAAATACATGGAACAGTATAGCAGGTAAGAATCCAAAGATCTAGTAAACTGATCAATATGGTATGCTACATGACAATAAATGTAACATGTTTTACTTACTAGATATGATTAATGTTATAAATTTCACTGACCTGGAAACGTGATATTGGAAAGATATTTGTGAATGATATGTGAAGCCTACAACAAACTGCCATACAAATCCCTGTCCATTTTTTTGCCCATTTCTTTCTTGGATAGGTGTGGACACAACAGTAATAGCGTGTTTTCCTGTGCAATGTGCCAGAAGAACAAGAAGAAAAAGGCATTGATTATTTTTGTATCTCAACAGAGTTAATGTATTGCTTTTCCTTTCAGGAGGTACTACGCAGATACATGGCAAACAAAACAACAAGGCCTAATGAATTCACATTGCTAGGACTGACTGATAATCCTAAGAGTCAGGTTATCCTATTTGTGTTCTTCTTGATAGTTTATATTCTCACAATTCTAGGAAATTCTCTGTTGGTCATCACAATTACATTGTCTACATCTCTTCATACTCCAATGTACTTCTTCCTGCGAAATCTTTCAGTTGTAGATATTTCCTTCTCCACGTCCACAGTCCCAAAGCTGTTGTCAGACTTTTTATCAGACATAAAAAAAATTTCCTTCTTTGGCTGTGTGGCCCAACTCTACTCTTTTATATCCTTTGGGGGAGTTGAATGCATTCTACTTGTTGCTATGGCAGGCGACCGCTATGTGGCTATATGCATGCCCCTACTTTATTCTAAAGTAATGAGCTGGAAGATATGTACAATCATGACTACAACATGTTGGATACTTGCTCTATTAAATTCTCTTGCCCATACTGTCTTCACATTCCGGCTACCGTTCTGCAAATCTAGAGTTCTAAACCACTTCTTTTGTGATATCCCACCACTCCTGGCCTTGTCCTGTGCTGATACAACCATTAATGAAATTGTGGTGTATACTGCTGGAGGGTCTGTAATCATGGGGTCCTGTTTGTTAACGCTTACATCATATATTTTTATTGTTAGAGCAATTTTAAAAATCCGGACAGCTTCAGGAAGACTGAAAGCATTTTCAACTTGTGCCTCTCATTTGGCAGTAGTGACACTTTATTTCGGAACAATTGTCTTCACATACATACGTCCTACATCTACCTATTCTCTTGACCAAGACAGGGTTGTTCCAGTTCTGTATGGTATTATTACTCCTATGCTAAACCCAATCATATATAGCTTTAGAAATAAAGATGTGCATAGAGCAATAACAAAAGTCATTTTAAGACGTCACCAATCAACTGCACAATAAAGAATAAAAAACGTACAATTATTAAACATAGAAATAGTATAGGTGAAGAAATGACAATGCTTAAAATGAATATGATGCTCTGATATAATGTTTATATTTCACATTAAAGCTAAACTTCGGGCACAACAACTTTTATTCAAATATATTCCTCAATAGCCAGAGAGGATTTAAATCCCCCTTGTGTGCACCAAATACCTTTCAAGATTCCAGTAAGAATACACAAGACTCTTAAATTTAGACAACATTTAGGGGTCTATTCACAAAGCTGCCGAAGGATCTAGCCGTAGCTTCGGCTGATCCTTCGGTTAGCTTCGGCCCCAGGACCCCTTCGGTTCAGTAGAACCGAAGGGGTGCTGTACGGGCTATTCACTATAGCCCGTACAGCTCCCGAACGTGGCCGAGCGGCTCAGTCGAGACGACCGCATATGCCTCGGCTCAGCTGAGCCGTGCTGAAACTCGAAGCTGGCCGGCCGACAGCCTGCTTCTGACAGCTGGTTGGAGCCAGCCGTGATCTTACGGCTGGCTCCGGCCACTTGCAGAGAGATCAGCGTCCCTGGTTACCTGCTAACCAGGGACACTGATCTCCAAACAGCAAATTTTACCCGCCCTCAGGTCCATCAGCAGAGGGCGGGTACAATGCTAGTTTACTATTGGCTATAGCAAATTGAAATAGCCAATAGGAATCTAGCAATGCATTCCAATGGGCAAAACATTTTTTTTTTTCTATTCTGACACGGCTCCGTGTCAGAATAAAGAAAAAAAAAGAAAAAGCAGTGTTTCTCTCCTGGGCGGCCGGGGGCAGGAGGCTCCCAGAGCGCCCGGGAGAGTTTTTTATTTTTGACGGCAGCAGAACCGCAAGACAATAGAAAACTGTTGGGCGGAGCTAGCTGTCATTGCTAGCTCCGCTCAATCGTTTTCTATTTACTTTTTTAACTATTTTTCTGTTCTGCTCGGTCCCTTTGAGGGACCAAGCAGAACAGCCGAGCCGAATGCCGCTCAGCGGCATTCGGCTATTCACTCACTGCTGTTTGGCATCTATAAGAATAGGCCGAACAGCAGTGAGTAGCCTGCCGAAGGTTCGGCTCGGCCGATCCAGATGAGTCGAACTCCTTCTGCACTTCGGGTCAGCCGAACATGCTGAGCATGTTCGGCCGACCCGAATAGACCCCTTAGTTTCTCATCCTGGAGTTCAGCTTTAGGCCCCATTCACACTTAAGCATGAGCATAGCTACGCAATTTAGAGGCTTTTATATGCATTTATACAAACGTTTTTCACATATTTGTATGTGAAAATTGTAGTGCAGAAGCAGTATCATGCATTTTTGGCCCCATAGACTTTTAAATGGAAGTGTCTGAAAAAAAGTGTGCAAACTCATGTTTTAATGCATATTTCTGCCCCAAAGAAGCTTCTGTACTTTTTCAAGCTTCACATGACAGGTGACCAAAGCAACAGACCCATTGAGAACAATGTGATTCTTTTCTTGATCATTGTTGCACTTCAGAAATCATGCAACAAAAATCTCAAGTGTGAATGGTGCCCCTAAGTATACAAATTCTTGAGGCAAACAATAACATATTAAGAAGAGGTGTATTTTATAGAACTTTTTATGTAAAGAGGCGATATTACATCTAAATATTTTATTATTTATTATGCAAATTATGCATTAGCTGTCAAGGGAAGAAAGTTAAAAGTGCAGTAACCCATGGAAGCCAAGAACACTATACATTACTGTGGCCAGAGAAGTACAAGAAGAGTTGCCTGGTTGTCATGGGTATTACAGTTTTCTATTTTATTAAGTAATCCCATAAGGGTCAGGGTTTTATTCATGCCATTTCAATAAAAAGCTTCACTGAGATAAATATTTAATCTGTTATTGATGACTTTCTTCTTAAAGTGCAGGTATCTTGGCTGCCTTTAGTTTGATTATTTTCTCAGTCAATGTCCCAGTAAAGCCAAAATTCAACATCTGCATACCCTTTAAAGGCCAGTTTAATGTATTTCAGACAGAGTCCGTATGAAAGGCAGATAGAAACTATCATTTTCAGAAGTGGAAAACACACTATATATTTCGAATAGCACAGGTGTATTTTACCATTTTGATGCAAGGAATACTATGATAAAATACTACGATTGCTATTTTTTTTACAAAATTGGCTAAAAGATAAAAAGAAAAACATGCTTTGATGAAAAAACATAGATCCGTTTTGCTGGACCTGATCTTGTCTAATTGAGGGTCATCTGATGTAAAGGGACACATGTCCGTTTTACATCCGATTCCCCATAGACAGACAAGGGGTCCGGTAATTGCATTTTTTTCTTCTAACACAAGATAAAGAAAAAACTGTACGGACACGGATGTCACAGTAGGGACATCCACTCTGTACTGCTGTGATCAGGATAGGATCCGTGCACGTCCACACACCTGGATTCTTCAACCAGTACAAACTGGTTACTAAAAGGCTCTTCTCAATAAGCAATCATAGCATTCTGGTAAGTTATCTACAGACTTCTATCACAACTTGAAATGTGGACAGGTAGAATTGCTAGCTTCTTGCTGGATCTTCTTGCAATTGCTGGATCTTCTTCTTTTAACTGTCTCAGAAGGACACAATCAACAAGTGTCCTTCTTTTGATTACAGGAAGTTTCCTTTCAATTATAAAAAGAGAACCTTAGTTACAGACTAGAGTGATAGGAAATTATCAAAAATGTTGTAATCCCCCCTGTACAAAAACATAGATTTACATGCACTGTTTTATAGTTAAAGTGAAATCTAATCTTCTCTGGGGTTCCTCTTAAAAAATAGCAGTGCACTTCCTGGTGTGTGAGGGTACCTAGGCACTCCTTTGCCTGTGGCCTCATAGCTGTTTGTGTGCTCTGTCAGATCAAAGGCACCGGTGCCTCCGACTGCTAATAGTGGAGATTTGGAGTGAGATTTGGTGATGTCACTACTGTGCTGCTGCCTGTTCTCCTTGAACAGCTCTGATCAAGTGACAACCTCCACAGAGAGACATGCTGCAGAACAAGGCAAGTTATATCAGTAATGGGGAAAAGATCATCTGCAGGGAGATCACAGGCAATTCTGGTAGCTTTATGCTCTGTCTGTATTTTTTGCCACTGCCTCCATAGTCAAATTCCTCTTGAATACCTTTGCTTAAAACTCCATTCAACCTCCTTCATGTTTGCAAGTAAATCATGAAATTTAAATCCACAGTTACATCTATCATTTTCATTCCCTCAGAAAAATGGTTTACTTATGAGTAGCACAACACTGTGGGGTCTATTCACGAAGCTGCCGAAGGATCTGGCCGTAGCTTCGGCCGATCCTTCGGCTAGCTTCGGCCCCAGGACCCCTTCGGTTCAGTAGAACCGAAGGGGGGCTGTACAGGCTATTCACAATAGCCCGTACAGCTCCTGAACATGGCCGAGCGGCTCAGTCGAGCCGAACGCATATGCATCGGCTCGGCTGAGCTGTGCTGAAAGCCGGCTTACGGCTTTCTCCGGCCACTTGTAGAGAGATCAGCGTCCCTGGTTACCTGCTAACCAGGGACACTGATCTCCAAACAGCTAACTCTCCCTGGCGCCCCGGGAATCTCCTGCTCCCGGCCGCCAAGAAGAGAAACACCGCCGTTTCTTTTTTTTCTTTATTCTGACACGAGCGATGTCAGAATAGAAAAAAAATAAATAATAATTTTCCATTTAAAAGCATTGGTACTTTACTATTGGCTATTTCAATTTGCAATAGCCAATAATAAACTAGCATTGTACCCACCCTCTGCTGCAGTTCTCCATCAGGTCCATCAGCAGAGGGCGGGTACAATGCTAGTTTACTATTGGCTATTGCAAATTGAAATAGCCAATAGTAATGTACCGATGCTTTTCAATGGGAAATTGTCTTTTTTTTTTTCTATTCTGACATCGCTCGTGTCAGAATAAAGAAAAAAAAGACACAGCAGTGTTTCTCTCCTGGGCGGCCGGGAGAGTTTGTTTTTTCTTTTTTTTTTTTGACGGCAGAAGAGCCGCCGGACAATAGGAAACTATTGGGCGGAGCTAGCTGTCACTGCTAGCTCCCCACAATCGTTTTCTATTTACTCAGCGGCATTCGGCTATTCACTCAAAGCTGTTCGGTATCTTTAAGAATAGCCCGAACAGCAGTGAGTAGCCTGCCGGAGGTTCGGCTCGGCCGATCCAGATGTTGGATCGGCTGAGTCGAACGCACGCTGAGCATGTTCGGCCGACCCGAAGCAAGCTGATGTACGGCTGATTTCAGCCGATGTACGGCCATACCAGCCTGAAGTGAATAGCCGAACAGTGTTCGGCTCACTTCACTTCAGGTCGGTCATCCACTCGGTTGCCTACGGCAGCTTAGTGAATAGACCCCTATGTATACATTTTATCTAGTATAGGGAAAAAAAGTCGTGGACATCTTTTTACTTCACTTATTGGTCCCAGCAATAATCTGGAAATTTAAAAAAATTAAAAAAATACTTTAACTTGATCCACCCCAGTTAAGCATTCGTGCATTTAGAACTGTACAACATCATCGGTAAACCACTTCTAGCACATTATCTTGCGTTTTAAGGTTTTCTTCAGTACCCAGCTCATTTAAAATTTGTTTGCAAATTAGTATGAAAATGATTTTTTGTGATCAGATTAACAGTTCTTGATCTACTATAGAATGTTTTATAATAGTGCATGATGCATACTGTGACACTGCTCTGAATTGTCGCCCCAAGTTCAATTCACCAAGTGTTCAGCAAATCTTGTTTAAAATTGGGTGAAGCCAAAACTTAGA